ACAGCAGGCGACGCCACGACACGCCGCGGCGCCCACCCAGAAAAGGTCCTCGCTTTGGCCGGGACCACTAAGTTTCGCATCCTCACTCAGCGGACGGTGCCGGCGGAGGGGCGCAACGCACGGCCGCACTGTCACAGTTGAGCCTCCATGCGACGACAGGGAATCCTCCCATTTGCTGCTGCCGGCGTCATCTTCCACGCGGAGGCGAAATCCCACCGGCTGGTTTGAGACGCTCCCGCCATGGTGCGGCGCACGGTAGTAACCGACGGGCACACGCGCAACGCGCCGGACACGACTGCGGGACGCAGCAGGCAAACTCTGGCGGTATCGCCGTATGGCTTCCGTGGACGGGTGATTGACGGTGGCGACGCCCCACCCCTGTGCGGATGTCTGTGTGGGCAGGCCGCCGTCCAATAACGTTGGGGCACACTGCCCGCGACCGCGCCCGCCGCGCCCACGCGTCGTGTCCGCGCCCCACAGCGCACCCACCGCCCTCCCTCCCGACGGTCCGCCGTGGCGGTGTGTGGAAGCGGCGAGGTTCGCCGAGCCCTTCGTGGTACGCGGCGCAACCCCCGGCGGTCGTTCCTCGCTCCTCAGCGGGGGCCGCCGCAGTGCGGCGCCGTTCGTTGGCTGCGGCTCCATCGAGTGGTCTGCCGCAAGTGCGGCAGCCGCGCCGCCAGCGTCATTTTCGGAGGGGGTGCGACCAAAGATCCCCAAGGGCCGGAAGGGTGCCCGCGGCATGCCGCCCTTCTCCACTGCGGGTCCCTGAGGAACGACAAGAAAGGCGACAAAAGCGGGAGGAAGGAAGCCACAGCGACATGACCCAGCAGCGATGGGAGAAGCGGGGACGGAGCCGCATGCCCGTACACACGCATGTAGAGGGGCAGAGGAGCAGAAACGAACGGCGTTTCTTTTTTCTTTTTCTTCTTCCAGCGTCAAGCAACACCATGGGTGGGGGGAAGGCGAAGCAAAAACAAAAACAAAAACAAAAAAAACAGGTAAGGCGTCATTTTTAATGCACATACGTATACTTATTTGTATATGCAGATTCATACTTGCATAAGTACGTGTTTGGAGGAAATAACGCTTATATTTTTGTGTTTTAAAAAAATTTCATGAATCCCCAAATTAAGCTCGTCACAAAATGCATTGTACAACCTTCGTTGCACGTGGCGGCTGCATAGCAGCTCTCGTTCTCGCCCCCCCCCCCCCACTACATCCACACGCAAGCGTTGATACTGGGAGAAGCACACAAGACACAGACCGCGATGCTGGCAATTTCGGCGACGCGGCAGGCGGAGGCGCCGCCACACGGGAACGGCTCTCTGCGGCCTCCGCCATATAAATAATAACAACAACAACTAAATGGAGACAAACAATAAAGCGCAATGTGGCTGAAAATTAAAAAGATTCTATTCACGCTGAAAAAAAAAAAAACCCGCTTCCTCCACGTCACAGTCAACCCGACCCTTTCCGCCATGTGCTTTGCGTGGTTGTATTCTTAGCTTATAAGTTATAGAAATAATGTTTTCCGTTCTGCGCATTGCTTACCTCGTCGTGGCACGGCACCGCAGTGGCGGCAGGCACTCAGAATGCTCTGGTCGTGTCGTTGGATTTCCCCAACACGGTGGGTCGTTCTTCGCTGTCTCCGCCCCCCGGCGTCCGCTCGTGTACCGGCTCAGCAAACCTCTTGTTGTTATCGGCGTACAGGACGAAGTGCTGCAGGATGAAGACGATGTCGTACAAGATGCTAACAGAGCCGAGCGCAAACTTCACGGGGTTGCCTGTCATGCCAACCCAGTCGTTCGTCACCGCACTGTCGATCACCTGCTGCAGAATGCTGAGGACGCCACCCGTAAAGTCGAGCAGAATGTTCCAGATGTTCCACCCGATCGTGCACTTCCGTTTATAGTTGAGGTACAGCTGCGGCAGGTACTTCACAATGCTGATGCCCAGTTTGATCAGGCTCAGGCCGTACAAGAGGTCGAGGTAGTTGAAGACGGCGGAATGCCTCACGCCACCCGCAATAAGGCAGGTCCACAGCACAACGACAAAAATTATCACGCCGATGAGTGCAATCGCGAAGCGGCTCAACTTCTGGCCGCCGCGGTCCATAAAGACAATCTGCAGGCAATTCAAGAGGCAACACACCAATGCATAGACCGCAAACACGACATCGTTCAGAGTCACTGTGTTAGTTGACCCGTTGTAGCGACGCCTGTACGTCTCCTTTACGGCATCGTTGGAGTAGAAGCACAGCGTGTACGTCGAGTAGCACATGAACCCCACCACGTTCAGGAAAACGAACTCAAAGCTTTGCCCCACCACGCTCCACCGGCGCATGTTGAAGTACAGCTGCGGCAGGAAGGAAACCCCCCACGCCAGGAAGTAAACCCAGCCGATCCACGCCGAGATGTGGTCCCACGGTCGCGGGTCCGCGTTCACCACCGGCGTCGTGAAGGTGAGAAGCGCGGCAGCCCCGACAATGGCCACCACGCACACCGGCGCCACCACACGGGGCGGGATATTATACTTCCCCACTCTGATCCCTGACGGGTCCGCGAACCTCTGGTGCTCGTCGACCCCAACCTCGCTCGTGCGGTGGTGCGCGTCGTCGCCGTTGTCGCCGCCGCCCACGTCCAACGCGTCACCGCCCTTCTCGTTCAACTGTGGCGGGTCGCTCAGCGGCTCCACCGGCACATGCGTCACGCCCTGCAACGGACTTCTCGGACTTCTTTGGTCCATGGTCGTGCTGTTGGGCGCTATCGCGGTGAAGCTGGCAAGTGCACTTCCTTCTTTTTCTCCCCTTTCGGGTGCTGGGTCTCAAAAGCAAA